GTATATTGTTACCCAAGTATGTTAAAAACTCAATATATTTTTTAACACTTTTATGTATGAAAAAGCCTCAAAGCCTCGAAACAGCTTTCAAACGACACATACCAGATTGTTAATTGTGATTACCTCAGAGGAGAGGCTTGAATTTTAGAGGAACATTGTAAAGGGGGAGATTGTGATGTATCTGCATTATCAGAATCTTTTGCAACAAGAATATATGCACTACTATTAGCATTGTCATTAAAATATTCAAATAAGCCTAACAACAGAAACAGTAGCTGTGTATTAATCAAGTAAATAAGCAACTACTAACATGCAACAGACAAAACTTGAAATCTGAATGGCTTAACACAACAAAAGTTTATTTCTGGTGCACATACAGTCTGCTCTGGGTTGGCAGGGGTTGTTGGCTATCAGGTGACCCAGGGGTCCAAGTGGCTTCCTTCATGTGGTTCCATGTCTCAGCACAGAATCTCCACATTTGCTGCTGAATTGAAGAACAAGCATGGAGGTGGCATACTGGTTTTCAAGTGTACTGGCCTGGAAATGACCAGTTTTGCTTCTACTCTTATTACCATGGCAAGACTAGTCACGTGACCCCATGACCTTTCTTATTTACAAGTGAACTGAGCAATGTAGTCTCCCCATGAGCCCAGGAAGGAGCACATGACACAATGTGGATAAGCACCTGCAGTCTCTCCCTTAAGCTGTTACATAGTTGCTGTTGTTAGCTGCCCTTGAGTTGGCCTCTGACTCACGGTGATCCCATGTGTTGCAGAGTAGAATTGCTCCATAGGATTTTCTTGGCTGTAATCTTTATAGAAACAGTTTGTCAGGCCTTTCTTCTCTGGAACCACTGGGTGTGTTTGAACTGCCAACCATTAGGTTAGCAGCCCATTGCAAACCACTTGTGCCACCCAGGCTCTTTTGTCACATAGTAGTTGTTCAATAAAGAGAAACTATTACAATTGGCTATGACAATAACTCAAAAAAAAAAATCCATTGCTGTTGAGTCAATTCTGACTCATGGTGATCCCATATGTAACGGAGTAGAGCTGCTCCGTAAGGATTTCCTGACTGTAATCTTTTCAGAAGTAGATTCTTCTGCAGCCCTGCTAGGGGAGTTCAAACCACCAACCTTTAGGTTAGTAGTCAAGCACAAGTCATTTGCAACACCCAGGGACCTTGGTTATGACAATATCCCTCTTTGTTTCTTGGAGGTGTTTCTAAGGCCAAATTTACCTTGAAATTAGCCAAAGTTTTCTAGTGGCTACTATGTGACAGGTGTTTTCAAATACAGGATTGAATCTAATTTTCTAAAGGACCTTTTAAATCTCAGCAGGGGGATTCGCTCTTCTTCAACCAATAGCACCTTTCTGCACTGCCCTTTGCAATGCCCTCTATAATCTCAGTAGGCTAAGAATTTTCTCCTTCCTTTTTGTTTTTGGTGCATGGATACAATCCTAACTTGTGAATCTCTATTACCCATGACTTGACTAAATATGCCTGAACACCTAGGTGTCATTAGGCACACTGAACAAACAGCATTTCTGCCTGGGAAGATACAGACAAGAGTTGGTGGAAGGATGGTGAATTATTTTTTTATTTTTATTCAAAGCTAGCATGTCTGCCAAGGAACGATTTTTCCACCTCCGAGAAGGACTCCAGGGTTTGTATGAATTCAGCCTCTGTAGATGTTTGCTTACACAGTGATTTATATGGTCTTTCTTCATCTACCGCTTATAAGAGAGGCTTTAGTTATGAACCACCGAGGTAAGCTCCCTCACTGGTGTTTGCATACAGTAGCCAGACCTTCAATGAGATGGATTGACACAGTGGCTGCAACTATGGGCTCAAGCATAGTCACTATTGTGGGGATGGTGCAGGACCAGGCACTGTTTTGTTCTATTGTACATAGGGTCACTACGAGTCAGAACCAACTCGACGGCACCTAACAACAAGAAGAACAATAAATACACAATTTTGCAATAACAGTAAAAAAATGTGTGTAGTTACGTAGGTAGATATGGATGCATATATGTATATAGGAAGGCATATGCGAGTAAATTCATGTGCATGTATAGGTGTATCTGTGGGCATATATATACACGTTTGTGTGTACTGCATATATATCCACATGTATAAAAAACCACATAGGGGGCACAGTTACGGAGGCTTACTAGCCATATCCAGACAACTCGCTGGATTGTTTTACTGGGTTAAAAGGCTTGGGACCATAGTCTTGGGGGACAACTTAGTCAATTGGCATAACACAGTTCACAAAGATAATGTTCTACATCCTAATTTGGTGAGTAGCATCTGGGGTCTCAAAAACTTGCTAGTGGCCATGTAAGATAAAACTGTTGGTCTCTACTCATAAGGAGCAAAAGAGAATGAAGGAAATCGAAGGTTCAAAGAAGAAACTAGTTCACAGGACTAATAGCCCACATGAACCACAGCGTCTTCTAGCCTAAGACCAGAAGAACTAGATGGTGCCTGACTACCACTACCGATCGTTCTGACCAGGGACACAATAGAAGGTCCAGGATAGAATGTGAGAAAAATGTAGAACAAAACTCAAATTCCTAAGAGAGGACAGACCTACTGGACTAATAGAGACTAGAGGAACCCCTGAGACTATTGCCCTAAGATACCCTTTGAACTTGGAATTGAAGCTATTTCTGTAGGCCACCTGTCAGCCAAATAATAGATTGGCTTATAAAACAAACAATATCCCCCTTGAGTAATATGCTCCCTTAAACAATCAACTATATGAGACCAAACAGTCAACATTTACCCCAAAGCAAAAGTGAGAAGGCAAGGAGGGGAAGGGAAGCTAGATCAATGGAAACAGAACTAACAGAATGGAAGTAATGAGAATGCTGACACATTGTAAAAATTGTAACCAATGTCGCTGAACAATTTGTATAAAAATTGTTAAAGGGGAACCTAATTCGCTGTGTACACTTTCACCTAAACACAACAAAATATTATTTAAAAAATGCCAGCCCTTGGGCAGAGTTAGTTAGCTCTCAAGGAACCTTGGAACTAGGGGAAGCAGAACGCTAGGTAAGTGAACCAACAGACCATCCTCAAATTCTGTTTGGTCCTCATTTTCACCTTCCTTGTTTACGCCTGCTTTTAGTATGCTGGCCACAATGTTATTCTTTTTATCACCTGAAATACATTTTGGAGTTGTGAGAAGAAAACGGAATTAATAGACACAAGGTCTGCCTCAGGTTGGGAGGAGTGGGACAGTGTGGGCTCTAGAATTCAGAACAGGGATCTGGTCCAGCTATTACTTACCAGCCATGTGTACTTATTCCCAAACTCCATGAGCCTCAGGTTCTTCATCTGTCAAGTGGGTTTCATGAATCCTGTCTTCTGGGACTGTTGGAATGTGTGTAATGCATGTAAAGCTCCTGGCACAGTGCCTGGCGTGTTTCGGGTCTTTAAAGAATGGCAGTTATTACTGTGATTATTTTGACCCCAGGTGATGCCACCCCACCTCTCTGGGATTTTTTTTTTTTAAATCCAAATATGCAGTGCTTTAGGACAAAGAAAACCAGATTAGCTAAAATGCTGCTTAGGAAAGAAAACTAGGTAATATTTTACATTAGGGAATATGTTATTTAATGTGGGCATGGGGTAACTTCCCCAGCTGGATGGAACACAAAGCTCCTAGAATTATTATTAAGACCAACAACTTCCCCCTCCCAGCTGCCCTTTCATCTAAGCCATCCCTGCTTTCATTCATATCATCACCACCAAAAATCTAGTCTTCACTTGGAGTTGGCCAACGTCATTCAGGATAACCTAATTCAAACGTCTTTTGAATGGAGTGGGTTCTGGCTCCCCCAGCCCAAAGACAAAGTGCCAGAACAGCGGCTTCTTGACATCTCACCTCAAGGAAGTATCACCTTTATCTCTCTCAGGAACTCCATGGACACGCTGTGCATGACACACCCAGTCAGTGCATGTGTTCAAGGCACTGGGGCAAGAGCACAGGGCACCTTCCAGTCCTGCCCCAGGCGGGGATTTCTCTCTGGTTTATCCCCAATCCCAGAGTCACTGTGAAGAGCCGTTCTCCATTCCAGGCTCAGCCTCTCCACCCTGAGACACATCATAGGAGTGTCTGGCCCTGCGGACCCCTCCCGCAGCCTCATCTAGACTCTCCTCCCCACCTCACCCCACCCCTTACCCCCCACCTCCCCCTGCCCCATGCAGCCTAAAATGACCTCCCACTCAGGTATTGCAGTGTCCCAAAGCCCCAAACTGCCCTGCCTCAGGGGGTTTACACTAGACCGCTCTCATCTGGAACCTCCCTGCTCCTCACTCCTCATTGTCCTTTTGGTCTTAGAGAGTAACTCATGCTCTTCCTTATATGATAGCTGCTCCTGGATGTTAAACATATATGTGCAGGACTGCATCTTCTTTATCTTAGCATTATCACGGTTAGAACAGAGCCTTTCAAAGAGCCAATGCTCAATTAATAATTGGGAATAAATGAGTCACCAAACAAGGGTCTAATTTATTACAACTTAATTTCATTGATATTCTTGAATAAACAAAGGAACTACAGATATGTATGTTTGAATTTTATGAAAGACAGAAATGAGTAAGGCAAAACAAGAATTAACCATGTTTTATTTTGTGATATCAACTATTTTATTGTGGGGTTCATTCACATTTCCAAGAAAATCCCAACTCCAAAGTGATGTTATCTTGTTCTGGACCCCTAAATAAAGATTCAAGGTTTTTCAAATTGTTTTAGAAAGACACCAAACCTCTTACTCTTAAACCTTATATAAAGAGAAATAAATGTGTAATCTAGGTCATATATAAAGTTAGATTCTAAAGCTAAATAAACATTTTATTAAATAGAACAAAATTTGAAAACCATCAAAAGAAAAAAGCTAAATCTCCGAGTTACTGATGTACAACAGAGACAAAAAGAAGATATGTATTATGATTCCTCCAGCCCAACCTTAGCCTGCCACTACTTAGAATTCTGACTTCTCTTTTGAACCACAAAGTGAATAATCTGCCTCAGACTTGACTAGGGGTGGGAGGAGCTGCCGGATGTGGCTCTGGAATAAGCACTGGCCTTTGCAGTAGGACCAGCCCTGGCTGCAACTCTGGCTCGGGCTCTCATCTCCTCATCTCTCAAAGCCTCTTCATAGTGCAGTGGGAAGGCACTGGGGACTGTATCATTGATCTTGGCCAAAAACTCCAGGACTTTCATCTTGCTGGTTTCCGCGTAGGCTCTGGGACCCCACAGGAATTCGTTGCGTGGAGGATCACTGTTGGGCACCTGCCGGTACTCCAGGTACTTTTCCTGCACCAAATCTTTGGTGATGAGCTTCCTAGGCTCTCCAAAGATTAAGTGCCTCCTCCCATCATAGACCCCAAGCACATTCAGGAATTCCCAGATCTCCTCCTCGGTGGCCCTGTTGCCCTTCATGAAAATCACGCCCAGGAGAGGCATCAGGAGCCCATTCTTGGGAAATTCGCCACCATCATTCAGACTTTCTTCGTTGGTGATGTCAAGTTTGCTGACAAGAGCATAGGATTGACGGCTGGGATCTACTTCCTTCAGATCAAGGCCAAAGACCAGCTCCATCCGTTCAGTAGTTTTCTTCAGGATCTCAGGGAAGCGCTCCTTGTACTTTTTGCTGATACTCTTCATCATCTCTGCTTTTGTAACGGGCTCTTTCATTTTATACTTGTGCAGCAGGAACTGCATCAACATACCCGCCTGCCTTGCTAAGGGATCTTTTTGTGAGCTCCCGGCAGAGGGTGGGGCCACAGAGGAACTTGGACCTCCCTCATCTTGGCTCTTGGCATCTCCAGCAGCTCTTGTGCCTGAAGCACCTGCAGCAGCAGTGGTGATGAATGGCACTCTCGGAGGCCCCTGGGGAATGTGAGCAGCAGGGGAGCTCTGGGGAGAACCCCCAAAAGGAGGAGAGGAAGAGGAGGGGGACCCTTCCTCCTCTGCTGCAGTGGCCTGAGCACCTTGGACACCGTGGGTGTCACCTCGGGCCTGGCGACGTTTCTCACGGGCACGGAGCTTACTCTTTTGACCACGAGGCATGATGACTATGGTCAAGGACAGCAGGCAGGAGTGTGGAAGGAGGGTGGGTGATGCCGGCCCACTGGAGGAGGGAGACTGAGAGGGTGTGTGCCCCTGCAGCACAGTGACGCCTCCTTGGCTTTGACAACCGCCGCCTCTGCAGGATTCTTGGAGGGCACTGCTCTAGGACCCTACAAGGCTCCTATTGTCCTGGTCAGGCCCCTGTAGAGGAAATTAGAGGAAGGCTTAGGTTGCAGCCTGCCAGCCCTACTTGGAGCTTACTGGGGTGACAGCAGGGGCTGGCAAGACTTAGGATTCCTCCCTCTACTAATTGGAGTCAGCCTGAAAGCAGGGGTGGGCTTTATGGCTCAGATTAAGGTCCTCACCTCCCTAGAGGGGAGCCAGCGTGCTGCACAAGTAGCCACCCCTGCCTGGGAGCTCCTAGAGGTCAGAGCAGGGTCGGGCTGTGGGCGGCCCCTCTTTTGCGGGGAGGCCCCTTCATGAGCACTAAGGGTCCCTGCCTGGCCTGCAGTTAGGGTCCAGTTCTCCCTCTTCAGAACTGGGACTGTCAATTAAACAAAAGCTCCTTCCTCCCTGAGACCTTCCAGGCAGAAATGAGGGGCACCTCAGTCTGACAGTTACCGCAGGGGCTGCCAGGGCTGACAGCAGGGGCGACACTCCGTAAGGCCATCTCCATTAGAAGGATGTCCCTCATTAGCACCGACGGTCCTCACCTTAACATGTGTTAGGGCCTGGATTCCCTACCTCTACAGAGTAGGCCGCCTCCACAGGCCAAAGCCCTCACCTCCTTAAGTCCCTCCAAGTAGAAATGAGGGGCTCCTCAGCTTGAAGCTCTGGCAGGGACCTTCCAGGGCTGACAGGGGCGGAACTATGTGTGGCCTACACGGTTCTGGGTTAGTTGGTCCCCTCAGTCCACATCCAGGGTCCTCACCTGGACTCCTGACCAGTCCGCTCGCGTCGATGATGAGCCAGCCCCTCCAGCCAGAGGCCGCACCTCTCCGGCGGTTAGGAGGTGGACGTCAAACCACGTCACATCCGGTCAAGGCCGTCGGTGTGCCTGCGTGGGCCAAGGCTGTGGGGAGGGGGAGCCTCCAACAGCCGACAGCAGGGGCGGGGCTCATGGGACCCCACTGTTTAGTGCTCACTGAGGGCCCTCACCCCGATACCTACCGGAGCCTGGGGTTCCTGCCTATAGAGACCCGAGTCACAGGCTCAGAACAAGACCCTCACCACGCCAAGACCCTAGAGGGGGAGGTCAGGGCGTGCCTCACGCTACCCCTGCCTGGGGCCTCACAGGAGTGCCGGCTGGGTCAGCACTCTGGGCAGACTCCCTTTTGGGCGTAGGTCCCCCATTATCACTCAGCTCCGCACCTTACTTCAGTGAGGGACGAGACTCCTCCCTCTGCAGAAATGGGGCTGCCCCGGTTGGACCAACGCCCTCCCTCCCTGATACCCTTTGTGCTGAAATGAGGGGGCACTTCAGCCTGATAGCTCTGCCTGGTGCCTCCCAGGATCAAAACAGTGGCTGAGCTCTGTGGGGGTCCTTCTGTTGGTGGGGTACCCTCAAAACACAGGGGGTCTTCACTTTGACTCCTGTTAGGTCTATTCCTTCTGTAGAACCAGGACTGGTCTCCTTCCCTCCCTTCCCCCCATTAGACCAAAGCCCTTGCCACACAGAAACCCTACAGGAGGAAATAAAAGGGTGCCTCAGACTGACAGCTTTGCCGGGACGTCCCAGAGCTGTGAACAGGGGTGGGGCTCTGTGAGGAGCCCTTTGTTTTGGGGATACCTTCATAACAGGAAGGATCTTTATCTGCCTCCTGCTAGGGCCTAGGTGTCCTCCCTCTGCAAAACGAGGGCCAACTGCAATGTACCAAGGACCTGAGACAATCTCTGCATACCCACTTCTGGGAAGGAAATGAGGGTACTGCTTAGTCTGACAGCTCTGAGCCGTGCCTCCCAATTCAGACAGCAGCGGGGAAGGGACTTTGTGGAGCCTTCTCTGTTCTAGGGTGGATGATTCCCTCATTCCTCATTCAGGGTCCTCACCTTGACACCCAATCTGTTCTGAGAATCTACGCTCTACTTACCTGAAGATGATCCTCTCCAATCAAGGTCCACACCTTCACAGCACCATTATTTGGAATCAGGGTGATGCATATTTGTCCACAGCTCTTCAGGACCTTGAAGGAGTGACAGCAGAGATGAGTCTCTATGGGACATCACTATTCTGTCTGGCTCCTTCCATCATCCTCATTCAGGATCATCACCTTGCTATCTATCAGAGACTGAGACTCCTGCTTCTACTGACTTGAGGCACCCTTCTTAGGTCAAGGCTCTCAAGTCCCTGAGAACTCTAAAGGATAAGTGAGGGGATGCTCAGCCTGACAGCCCTGCCTGGGGCTTTCTAGGTTTGAGAGCAGGGTGCCAGCCAGTCTCTGGGTGACCCCTATATTCTGGGTGTTGTCATCTTCCCATTCCTCACTCATGGATGTCCTCATCTTGGTTCCTGTCTCTTGAATTAAAGGCTTCCCAGGAAATGTCACATCCCTCCAACTCTTGAGTAGTTTGCCTCCTGGAAACATTGCAGAGAATGGGTTCCTGTCCCAGAATGATGTGAGATGGGGATGCTGTAGCACAAGACAAGGGGCCCAGGATAGGTGGTGGGCTGCCAGAGAAAACACACGCTAATCTAGTCCATCACTTCATTAGCCAGACTTGGCATCTTTTTTTTTTCCACAAGCAATTCTGTCCATTCTGCATATATATATGTGTGTATATATATATATATATGTGTGTGTATATACATATGTGTATATATATATGTGTATATATATATGTGTATATATATGTGTATATATATATGTGTATATATATGTGTATATATATATATAGTTCTTTAGGTGAAAGTTTACAGCTCAAGTTAATTTCTCATATAAAATTTTAGACACATATTGTTATATGACACAAGTTACAATCCCCACAATGTGACAGCACACTCCTCCTTCCCACCCCAGGTTTCCCATGTCCATCCAACCAGCTCCTGTCCCTTCCTAACTTTTCCTCCTGCCTCCAGACAGGAGCTGCCCGTTTTGTCTCGTGTATCTCCTTGAACTAAGAAGCACACTTTTCACAAGTATTATTTTATGTTTTACAGTCCAGTCTAATCTTTGTCTGAAGAGTAGGCTTCGGGAATGGTTTTAGTTCTGGCATCTATTTTGACTTTTGTCCTAAAAAGTTTACTTTCTACAGGAAAGGGGCTGTCCAAGATGATTTTGTGAGCTTCTATATTTTGAGGTTATCTGAGATATAAGTAGATGATCATGCTTTCAATGAGAATTATCTCTTTATCTCATTTATTCATACCACTCATTTATTTTGGTATTCTTATGGTTCTGGCTGTGTATTCCAACCCAGTGCTTTGGGCACAAAGATATTCTTTTTATCACCAGAGAGACATCGTGTAGTGGAGAGAAGAACAGTGAATTAAGAGACACAAGGTAAGCCTCTGGCTGGGAGAAGTGAAACAGTGTGTGCTTCAGACGGATTCAAACCAGGGGTCTATCCAGCTCTATTACATACTAGATGTGTGAACTCGCACACATTACCAAACTTTCTGAGCCTTAGGTTCTTCATTTGTGAAGTGGGTTTGATAGTCCTGTCTTCTAGGATTGTTGAAATTCACGTAATGTATGTAAAGCACCGGCACAGTGCATGGCATGTTTTAAGACTTTAAAGAATGGCAGGGATTACTATCATTATTTTGATCCTGTAACCTGACTCTAAATTTCCATTAGTCCTTAAACTAGCCCAAGCCAGATTTGGCCTGCCCCGCATGCGCAGAAGGGCCAGCTGCGAACGTTAATTGATCTCAACAGAGGACGCAGCAAAAGGTGGAATGAATCAGAAGAAAAATCATCACCGGGACCTTATTCCAAAGAGAGAGGTCTGACAAGAACCACATCACCTCCTGTTTCTTGGCCACCTTCTACAATTTTTTTCCCTCCCCACTACGCCTGCGCGGCCTCCATCTTGCTACCCAAACCACATATAACCCCTCCTTCCCCCTAGCTTGGGGGGGGGTCAGTCCTGAGGAACTTTTCTCCCGCTGCTTACTCTGCGCATTGCAATAAAATTACTTTCTCTTTCTCAAAGAGCGGTGTCCAGATTATTGGCAAGTCTAGGCCTACCAGACAGGGACCCACCTACCCGGGTTTGGTAACAATTTTGGCGCCCAACATAGGGCCCGAGTGTGGCACAGACCCTCTGTCTGGAGCCCGGCACCCCGTGGTCCCGTGAGCAGAACCTCCACCGACCCTCAGTGCGCACCGAGCCTCTTGTTCAGGAGGATTGAGTGGGTCCCCTAATTGTGACCGAGGTGGCGACTGGCCTGAGGCACTTGGAGAATTAGAAACTAACTCAAGTATGGACGCTGCTAGGTAAGTGCCCTCAGAATTTCTCTTGTTAAGTGTTTAAGTGCTTGGGATTGGAGGTGGGGAGGTATCCAGAGGATTTAAGTAGGACTAATACCTCCCCATTAGAGGGGACTGAAGCCCTCCTAAAATCATCCTCGTTATCTTGCCCCTCCACTCGCCCTACCCGACAGCAGAGAACAGGCAGCCTAGTTTCTGGTTGTTGACCTTGGTTAGGTTCTGGTTTTGAGTGAGTGTGTGTGTGTGTGAAATACTGGAAACCACTGGTGCTCTTTGTTTTTTTATGTGGATTCTAGTTACTGTTTGGGGTCACTTAACTATGCTACCATCTTACAGTTAGATCTGTTTTTGCAAAAGAGAGGGAAAATGGGATGAAATCCTGTACGTACAAACCTTTATGTCTCTCTGGCAAAATAAAAACCTACAAAAACAGTGTAAGCTAATGGTGCAGGGGAAAAAGGAAGGGGGGAAAAGTCCTACCTGGAGAGGCCTGGGGCCAAAGCCAGGCCACATAAACAGGATGATTGATAGGGGGCCAGGGTCTTCTGGTTCCATCCAGCCAGAGGC